CTTTAATGTTTATTTATTTCTGAGGCAGAGAGAGCCAGAGCATGAGTGGGGAAGGGGTGGAGAGGGAGGGAGACACAGAATCAGAATCAGAAGCAGGCTCCAGGCTCTGAGCTGTCAGCACGGAGCCTGATGCGGGGCTTGAACTCATGGACCGTGAGTCATGAGACCTGAACCGAAGTCAGTCGCTTCGTGACTGAGCCACCCAGGTGTCCTGACACCTTCATCCTTAATCCCATTGCTGGCCCAGCCGTCCTACCATCACCTGGTAAGAACCAAGTGGGGCACTTAGCCACTTTTGCAGCCTGTAAATACACATCTACAAAGCTGAAAGACAAGGACAAGGACACATCTCCTCGACAAAGCTGGCAATTTTGAATTTTTTTAAAAACCGAATTAAAGTCTCCAAGTGATAACAAAAACATGTAACAATCTGAAACCATGCCGGGTGCCAGGGACCATGTAAACATTTTACCAGAATTCTCACAATGAATTTTCACAATGGCCCTAATAGATATTATTATTCCTGTTTTATGGATTCAGAAATGGAGACTCAGAGAAGTTAAGTACCTTCACAGAATCAGGATTAGAACTCATATGTGCCCCTATCACTATGTCTTAGGGCTTCTGTGAATGAGCAAAGCCAGAGACTGATTTTTAAGGGGTCTGAGGAAGTTCTGTTTTCCCTTTCAAACCTCAGGTTCCAAAAGCCTCAAAAGAACTGTGAAAAGGACTGTGGGGCCCCTGGTGCAGCATTCATCACCATACTAGGTACAAACTGGGCATCTGGACAAATTCTAAACGTGATTTTTATTTTATTTACTAAACATGATTAAAAAAAATTTTTTTTAATGTTTATTTTCGAGAGAGAGAGGCAGAGCATGAGCAGGGGAGGGGCAGAGAGAGAGACACAGAATCTGAAGCAGGCTCCAGGCTCTGAGCTGTCAGCACAGAGCTTGATGTGGGGCTTGAACCCACGAACCTGTAAGATCATGACCTGAGCTGGAGTCAGATGCTTAACTGACTGAGCGCCCCATTCCTAAACGTGATTTTTAAAGCACAGAGCTGGGAGACAAAAAATAGGCTGGAATGGCTTGTCGCCGATAAAGTAAAGCAATTCTACTCTATAAATGCAGTTTAATAGTTTCCATATATGTAGACTGGAATCAGGAAGCGAGGACCTCACCCAGATTGTTGGTGCTGTATCCTTAAGCAGGTTAATTTACCTGTTTGGGTTTTACTCACTTCAATCCTACCTCTTTCTGAAAAGGATTTCAGGTAGCAATTTTGGGCCTCCCAGAGGAAACTATATCCATTGGATCTGAGCAGAAAGAGAGCTGTGGGGATGGCTAGCTTGTTCAGTGATCTCTGACTATACCCCCAGATTAGAAATAGCCCTGCCTGGGCCCATCCCTAGAAGTCCTGGTTTAATTGGTATGTGTTAGGGCCTCAGCAGGGGTGATTCTAATGTGCTGGCTTCCGATCCAGTCTAATCCCTCATCTTCTGAGAAAGAGGGAAGGGAAGAGCCTCTGGAGCAAAAGAATATCCCTCATACTGTAGAAAACAGAAGGCCAGAGAATGAAGTAATTTTCCCTGGCTCACATAGCCACTTGGCGACCGACCTCAGGCCTCCCATCATCCAGTCACTGTGTTGTCGCTGGCTCTCCATAAACTTTCTTTCCCACCTCAAGTATGTCATCGTAAAGGTGAGTCGAATCATCCACATAATATAGCTTCCAGGCCAGGGCCCTTACCATTTAGGCACCTCCCGTCTCTGGCTGTTTACATGTCTCATGTTTTCTCAGCCTCTCACAGACACAAAAGCTATACATGTCAAAAGAAAGGAGGCTGGGGCAGGCTGCTTCGAAATGTTCTGAGTCTGGGTGTTTACAACTCAAGACCTCCTCTGCTATCTCTGATCACCAACACTTCCTTACCTCATCTTCAAACTCCTCTTCCACAGTAAACAGCTTCTGCAAACTGCATGCCTGAGAGGAAAACAAAGCAATTGAGGTTGGAGGAGAAATTCTGCTTGCAAGTACATTCTGTCCTCACTACGCTTCTTTCCAATTCTAACACGACCACCAGGTGTACTGTTTTTTATTTTTATTTATTTTTTATTTTTTTGCTAGTGCTGAGGGAGGAATAAGGGATGAGGAGGGGAGAGATGGGATTTACTTAAAGTCTTGGATGATTTAGAATCCCTTCTTGTAAAATAATCCACGCAGATCCAGCTGCATTAGCGCTGGGAGAGGGGGGAGGAGGCAAGAGGAAGGCTGCCAGAGGGAACCTGGGTCATTCTTTGGACTCCGAGCTGTGCACATGGGCTTAAGGATTTTGCAACATCCCAAAGACCTGGCCTGGGGAACCCATGTCAAACAAGAGAGAGGCCACCATAAATCCAAGCATGCCCAGCAGTGCTAGTGGCCTTGTTTCTGAAAGCCAAACCAATGGTTTCCTTCTACCTAATCCCATGCCCCAAAGCCAGCGTCCCAGGAGGGTAGGATGTCCCAGTCCACGGTTCCTTCTTTCTAGGCAGCAGGGCTACTGTGGCCAGCTCTTAGACTGGCGTCAAACTCAAGAGCAGCGGGGTGTGCCTAAACCCCGGTTGCCAAAAAAGCAAGAGCTACAGTTAGGCACCCCCACCCCCAAGCGTCCAAGGATCAGAGTGTCCGGGTTAGGGGGAGGGGGTGGGGGCTCTGGAGGCGTGACGTTTGAGCCCACCGGGGAGGATGACCAGGAGTTCTCCAAGAAGAGATGGAAGGCAACAGGAGGGAAACTGAGGCCCAGAGGGAGGTAGGTGTGTGGCGAGGACCTTCCCAAGGGTCTCCGGGCAAGCACTGACTAGAACCTAGGTCTCCCGAAGCCACCAAGCTCTGACCCAAACCCTAGCCGGCCGTGCAGCTAGCACGAGAGAAGGGCTGGAAGCCGGAAGGCAGTTCTGCGGCCTCGGGCGCGGCATTACCATGGCGACGGCCGGCGGGCTCCGGAGAGGGGGGTGGCCGGGAAGCCCCCGACTCGAGGGGTCGCCGGGGCCTCGGTCTTGGTTGCGGTGGGAGCGTCGGAGTCCGGGCCGCACGGTCTCTGAGGCGAGGTCGGAGAAAGGCTACTCAGCGACCCTGGCGGGGGCCGACAAACCCGGGAAGCCGAGCAGCAGCGCCCGAGGCCACTTTCGAAGCGGCCGCGACTCCCGAGTCTCCGCCCTCTTAAAGGGGCTGGCCTATTTCTATCCCGCCGACACAAAGGCCCTTCCTCCGTCAGTCTTCCGCCTCGGCCTTAAAGGGAAATGAATGGGCTCTCGGTCGCCCCCCAGCGGCCCCTCGGGTCAGGTCGGCGGCTTCAACAGGAGTTCTGGGAGAGCAGGCTGGGAATCCTGGGTCCCCAGTGCCGCCCACACCCTCCTCTCTAGAGTTAAGCACACCAGGGACCTGGCACTAGAGCGTGAGTCTCATTCACATCAGAATCCGCCCCATTGGTCTGTCTATCCATTCATCTGTCCATCCATCCTTGCAACACGTAGGTATTAAGCAAAGATATCTTCTTGCTCTTTTTACCCTTCATATTTCAGCTTAGATCTCAGATCTTCCCTGTCACTGGTCTCTCAGGTAACATCCCTCCACCCATGGTTTACATCTTTATTGTGTGTCTTCCTCACTAAAATATGAGCTCTCGGGTTTCAGCACCAAAACCAAAACAAACCAATCAAACAAACAACAAACAAGCAAAAAATATGAGTTCCGTGTGGGCAGGGACTTTGGCTTGTTCAGCTTTGTATCTCCAGCACTTAGCACAACGCTCAATAGAATTATTGAATGAATGACACAACGACTACCGTGTATCTGGCACAATGCTTAACACTGGAGATAGAGACGTTAAGAAGAGTCCTTGTCCCTCAAGTTCACAAGTCAAGGAGACATAGGTCAAAAAACAGTCTAGGATAGTTGTGCAGAGAGATGCACAGGGTCCCAGTGAGCTGGCATAGCTAGTTAGCTCTTATCACTGAGCCAGTCCTCAGTCCTCCTGTTTTCCTTCTTGCTTGTCACTATAGGGAGTGACATGAGAGCCGCATAGTCATTTGTTTGTTTGTTTGTTTGTTTATTTATAAGTAGGCTTCCCACCTAGCTTGGAGCCCAACATGGGGCCCGAACTCATGACCCTGAGATCAAGACCTGAGCTGAGATCAAGAGTCTGAGGCAAGGGGTGCCTGGGTGGCTCGGTCAGTTAAGCGTCCGACTTCGGCTCAGGTCATGATCTCACGGTCTGTGAGTTCGAGCCCCGCGTCGGGCTCTATGCTGACAGCTCGGAGCCTGGAGCCTGTTTCAGATTCTGTGTCTCCCTCTCTCTCTGCCCCTCCCCTGTTCATGCTCTGCCTCTCTCTGTCTCAAAAATAAATAAACGTTTAAAAAAAAAAAAAAAGAGTCTGAGGCTTAACCAACAGTGCTACCCAGGTGCCCCTAGAGCTGCATAGTTTTGAGGACTCAAAAGGCAGGAGGAAGGTAGCTGATTCAAGTTCTTAATGATGTGATCTTGGATCTTCTCTAGGGTGGCCTGGACTGGCCTCACCTCTGGACAGCCGTCATAGCTTCATATGGACCAGTTTACCCATCACATGTCAGAATGGAAGCCAAAATGGCGATGGGAGGTGAAAGCTGGACTCCTCTCATCCAATCTGGGAATTCCTTCATAGCCTCTGTGCTTCGTCTGACCTGGGACCTCCTCTCCTTACTGGAATCCTGGGCACAGCTATGGATGATCCTGGAGACCCAGTCTCAGGGCCCCTCAGGCATCCAGGCTCTGTCAGCTCCAGCTGAAGGGGGATCACAGACCCCAAAAGGCCAAGAGGACTAATAGCAACTCCTATCCACACCGGAGTCTGAGGCTTCCAGTATTAATCACAAGCTCATTTTGTCTCCACAAAGATCCCATGAAGAGTGAGGGGCCAGTATTATTTTACAGGTTAGGAAACTGAGGTCCAGGGGATAAGAGACCCCCTGAGGGTCACACAATCACTTAGTGGTGGATCTTCTGATGGGAAATCCTATTTTCTCCTCCATCACTTTTCTAAGTTAAATGAACTTGGCCATCTACTGCCCCACCTCTTGTTAGAACCTGGATGGAGTTGGGGATAGGTGGTTGGAGCAAAGGGAAAATGTGGACCTGTGACATTTTAGAGAGGAGATGGCAGGACACAGTGAGAAGGTGGTCTGCGATTTTACAGTTGGGAAGGACCCCCATACTGAAGGGTCTCCCTTCCCCCAAATCAAATGTCATCTTAAGGGAAAAGCAAGGATTGGGTCTCCATGGTGATGGGACCTCGATCCTTTTCTCCCTCCTCCTAGAAGAGAGGTTAGTGTTCATTCTAAGAACCAGCCTTGAGGATAATGGAGACTCAGGCCAAAAAGGAAGGGGTGGGTTCCGGGAAAGGGCAAAGTGGGCTGCCCGGACTTGGACTAGAGGGCCACACGAGAAGACACCAGCCCCCCAGCTATGAAGTGGGGTACAAAAAGGAGTGAGTGTAGTGAGAGGGTCTTAATAGCACTCTGATGTAACCCGTTATAACAGCCAGTACTTCCTGAGCACTGTTCTGGAACTTTCCATGTATTGGCTCACTTGACCATTGTAACAAGCCTCGACATAGGTGCTAGGACTACTTCTGCCTTACAGAGGAGGAAAAGGTCAATGTCTTGCCCAAGCTCCTATAGTTAATAGGTGGTAGAGCTGAGATGAGGAAGCAGGCGGTCTGATTCCACACAGGTTTAACCACTATGTCATTCTGCCTGTTAGAATTCCAAGGAATGGGGTTCTTAACCTGGGGCTTCAGGGAATATAAGCCCCCTATAATTATAATTATGCGCAAAAACTGTGCACCTATGCCCATATGCCCTGTTCTGAGCGAGAATCCATGGCTTTGATCACATTTTCAGGGGTCAGAAACCTGTTGCCTTGCTCTTTCTTGGGACTAGGATACACCCCAACTCCCCCATCCCCGTCTATCCCTCACCTTGTCCAGATGCCTTCCAACTGTATGTACATCAGGGCTTACAAACTCCCACCTGAGTTATGGTGGTAGCTTCCTGCATGGTCTCCCTAGTCCAAGCTCTCTTCCCTCTGTCCATTCTTTCTAACATGCCAATGGGATACTATTTTCCATCATAAAAAAATTTCAGTCCTCTCAGTTGCTGAGGGATGACATATAAAATCCCCAGGGCCTGCAATGCCCTGGTGTGTGCCTCCCTGCCCTAGCTCATCTCTCAACCAATCTCCTAATCAATACCAATCCTTCTCCACCCCACTCGTTCTTCATGCCCTGGCTCACAGGCTGCCTCCTCTAAGAAGCCTTCCTTACTGCCCCAGGAGATCTTACCGAGAAGGTAAGAGAGCTTACCTTCTCTTTGGTTCCCTGCATTTTTGGCCTACTTCCATTATGACTTTGGGTCTCTTATATACCTTGTATTGTCTTTAGGCTTCCCTCACACCTCTCTGCTGGATTTCAAACTCCTTCAGGGCGAAAACTGTGGCGTTCCTTTTGTGAACTGGTACTTGGAATAGGACTTGAACACCAAAGACACTTAGCAAGTGTTTGTTGAATGACTTAATGCCATTTGTCAAGAGGGAGTATAAATGAATCTGCTTACTTCCCCAAATCCTGCAGTTGCTGGATGAGGAGACTCACCTTCTTAGGTACAAAGGAGGACGCACCTTGAGTGTGTATGTGTGTGTGTATGGGTGTGTGCGTGTGTGTGTGCACGTGCACCAATGCCAGTGCATGTGTGTTTGCAGACAGCATGCTGCATTGACTATGAAGTTAAACAAATCTCGGTTTGTATTTGACCCTGTTGCTAACTGACTGTGTGACAGTTTGCGTTGTTACTTTTCTTCTCTGAAACTTAGCTGCCTCACCTATAAAAATGGGACAATATACCTTCCTTGCAAAGTTGCTGTGAGATTAACTGAATTAACGCATTGAAATGGCTAACTCCATGCCTGGCACGTTGGCAGGGACTCAACAATGTGGGTTCCCTTCCCCCCTACTTGAGTTGGCAAACATGTGCTGAGATTTGTTATGAGAACCACATGGTTTGAGTTTGTATCTATTTCAGCATGTTTGCAAATGCATTTTCCCCTAACTTGTATTTTTATTGTACCAACAGTTGTATGTGAATCGGTGTGCTGATGTGTGTGTGTGTGTTTATGTTTAGATTTTCCTTGGTATGGACATTGTGAGTCTCGCGTGGCCACGTTGGCAGGTGGGTGCTGTGTGAGCGTGTGTATGGAATGAAATGACTTGTTGCGTGCTGCATCGTGGGTGGGGGTGCTGAGTGTCTGGGCTGGGGGAGGGCTGATCTGTTTGTGTGGCTTTGTGTGCGTGAAGGTTGTGCAGACCAGCGCTACTGATAGACCATTCTGTGTTGATAGAGGTGTTTTCTATCCACTCTGTGCAATGGAGTAGCCACTAGTAACCTGAGGTTTTGAGCACTTGGAATGTGGCTAGTGAAACTGAGGAACTGAAGTTTTTTGTATTTAATTTTAATTAATTTGAATGTAAATAGCCATGGGTGGACTAGACAGAAACCTCAAGACTTGTTCTCCACAGACCAAGTGGTGTGCATCCCCCTCCGTCTTATCCCAGAAACCCATCTATGGGGCACTGACCCCAGCAGGTAAGTGGACCCGCTGGAGCCCCGCCCCCGCGCGCGCGCGCGTGTGCGCCCGTGTGCGCGCCCGTGTGCGTGTGTGTGCGACAGTCTGAGTCGTACAGAGGGGGCTGCTGCAGC